TCAAGAGCCTTCATTCCTTTTCTTTAAAGCTAACAAAAACACATACACTCACGCTTTAGCTCTAAGCATGTATTGTTGCTTTTATTTTTTCTTACTAGAAGCACTAGGCACCACATAAAGGACGCCTCCTGCACTAAATATTATAAATTAATAAAGCATTTGTAAGGCATGCGCTGTACAACTTATCGCATTCAGTTGGCTTGAAACACTGAGCCCAAACCAAAACTGACTGACAGGAACATGCAAGCAATTGATAGGCGACCGCAAATGGATGTCGGGTTTGGGGATACGATTTGTGGAAGGATATGGAAGTCACATTGCAAGCGAACACATTGCGTGCAAACGGACACATTGCTAACCTATTTTAAGGCATATAAGAGATGCTGTACATGCACATTATACACATATACATATACATATACATATACATATACATATACATATACGTATATATGTACATAGGTATGTGTATGTACTGAGTATGTACTGAGGTATGTACTGAGGTATATATACACATATATATACATTCTTTATATGTCACAAGCTGTGGACTTTTCCATAACGACAATGCACTCGTTTTATCCTTCGGGATACGAGTCATCCATAATTAACGAATACAACAGCTGTTGCCAACAGTGCGCTGCCTACTGTTACTTTACAGACCGGTGCAGAGTGTATGGGTAACTGTAAAAGTGTCTGTATCTGTATCTGTATCTGTATCTATACTCGTTTATGTCGGTCATTTGTACATAAGCTACATTTTGCAACAGTTTTTCTTGCACATATTACAAGCCATATGTACATGCTTATGTATGTGTGCGTGAGTGAATGTATGAATGTATTTTTTAATTAATTATTGCCCTCTCTTGGGGCTAGGCCAACAGAAAAAAAACTTCAGATACTAGGTTGGCAAAACGGTTTTTTCGTTTTCCTGTTGTCTGTTGATATGCAAATTACAAATGCTTTTGTGAATTCAATTAGTAGTATAGAAAGGAAATCATTTGGAAAATACGAGTTTCAAACTAATACTTTTTGTACTCAGAAATGTGGCTATCAAAATAAAAATAAAAACTTATTTCTCAATAGTCTCTGCTTCTCCTAATCTAGAAATAGAATTTAATTAGTTTGCACAAATAATAAAATTATACTTTACATTATTAAAAAGATTTATTGAGTAAGTGCTTCATTCCTATTTATACAATTATCAACAAATAAATGATTAATATTAATTAAAATAAATAATTAATATTACAAACCATTTACTCTTTGCCCTTCTCCACAACTTATAAATAATTGTTTTGCCAAGTGAGATATGGTTATGAAATAAACAATAAAATGCCGAATGAACCGCTCATGTTGCTCGCCTCGCACTAAGCGTGGACACCATGCAGCTTGGCCATAAAACTTAACTTCCATCCCCTTCCGCCCATTTTCTTCGACCAGCTGTGACAATTCATAATGAAATTACCAGCCAGACACATGCTTGTACGAGTATATATTATGTAGATATGTATCTATGCATACCCTCTGCTGTTCCTATTACCTACCACTTGCCAGTTGGTGCTACCGGTGCCTACTGTGGCCAAGTGACACTTGTGCAATTATTGTACCGAAGAAAAAAGAAAACAAAACAAAAGTATTCGTTTTCAGATGGTGAAAGAATCCGTCCCTTGACAGGCTGTATTAGACTATTCCTATTCTCTTTGACCGAGCGACAGAGGGTGGCATGGAACGAATTATTTTTTCAATTCTGTTAATCAGCGTGTATGATGATCTCAAAAACTGAACATAAGATATATGGTTGTTTATTATAATAATAGTATAGATCATATCCATTAGTATCCTTTTGCACTATCTACATTATAATTCAATTTAAAACATCGATAAATAGCGATCACAAGATTCCAATATATGAGAATACATTCATACGCTAGGCAAACAATATGAGGCGAATGTCTTTTGCAACAATTTTCAAATTCACTACAGGGCAATAAGTAGTCAGTCAGCATTTAGTAGGCTAATTCGACGTGGGTTTTGTGTACTTTTGCCGTGCTTCCCAGCATGGCCGCCATCCCAACAGGTAACAACGCAATGCCGAGTATTTAATGAAATGCCTTTGTTTCGTCTGCTCCGCAGCTCGTTGTCGACGTCTCAGTCGCAGCCGCAGTCGCAGTCGCTTATTAACTTACCTGTTATTCGAGGCATTTTCATTTTTCACACGCACATGCAATCACAAACGAAGACTGACGAAAACTGCGCTGCGGCAGACTGGAAAATGAAAATGCACTTGCTTCAAGTCTCCAAATGCGATCTCGCCCTTGCAGCGACTCAGCTCGACTCCTGGTGCTGTTGTTGTGGTGGTGCTATTATTATTTCCTATGAATGAAAACATGAACGGAAATACCGTAGGGGGCGATTTCTTTTATTTTTACTCCGCTCTTAACTGGGCCTATAAGCTGGGGTGTGCGAGCGAGACGGCGGCCACTCTCTGTTACCTGACCATGGTCTGGACATTAGAATCGTGTGTTTTTTTTTTTTTTTTTTTTAACGCTCACAGTTTTTGACCAGTTTTCTTCATTTCTTTTTTACCTGAACCAGCATTTCCCATCTCTGTGAACTCGCTACTGGCGTTTGTTGCACCATCTCATATCTTATATATTTGTTTTATCCATATAATTATAGTTGCCTGAGCCTATCTCCCTAGGCTTATAATTAAAGCCCGATTAGCTGGCATCGAAAAAGTGATTTTATTTTTTAATGAACCGTCGACTGTGGAATTGGGTAATTTATTTGTCATTGATTTGTAATAATTGATAGCCATGGCCCATGGCTTTTCAATGCATTTGAAAGGGAATGGATAGGCAATTTAAATACGAACTAAGAAACAACCATCGAACTTACTACATGCTCAATTATTCGATAGCAATCGATTTTCAAAAGTGATCCCAACTATGCTATCCGAACACGAATACTTTGAATACAACTTTTAAAACTGAACTATGCAATTTAGAGGCTTTAAGAATATTTTATTCCATTTCAATGGAACTCGCATCAGATGTGCTAGCAGTAAATTGAAAGCTTTCAGTGTCGCTAACGCAAATGAAATGTTTCACACTCTAGTTACATATAGAAATGCAGGACATACAATTAGTATTACCTCAGCCCATGCTTGCTTGGGCTATAGCTATGGCCAAGTCAAAATGCCAATACAAAACAAATGAAAATTGCAGCTTTAGAAATTATGCGGCAAACGAGTTTTGATGCCCGCAGCTGCAACGGTTGCTCGAAAGGAGCTTGGCGTAGAGGTGGTCAGGTAAGCGTAGGGGTAGGAGCTAGAGGCTTCAAAATTTCACCTAGTAATTGCGACACAATTCAGGGCTCCGTTTCAGCTGTTACTACTGCTCCTACTACAGTGCAATACAAGGGACTATTATTATTATTTTTTATAATCATTAAGAAGCGGCTTCCGCCTCGGCAACGGAACGAAATATGTACATATAAATTGACGCACGGGTCGCGTAAAAAATAAAGATGGGAAAATAAACACAAACAAAAGACAGGCAACGGGAAAAAAGCCGACGGCAAATATCACACAGAGAAAGGGAGGAATGATCAGCAAGAAGGCAAACAAAAACAAAACAAAATAAAAAAAAAGTGAATTGATTTACATGTGTGTCGGAAAAATGTTAGGCTGTGGAAAATGCTTTGGATAATTGTGTAATGCGATGGTCCCCAACACCCAAACCCACACACAAATGCACACACATACCAGAAACGTCTCACGACAGCGTTGCCAATTGTTAAAAAGTTACAAAGCAACAGCAACAACTATATAAAAATAATATAAATAACAACAACAACATAGCCAATCGTAAACAGCCTGCTGCAGACGGAACGATTTATTATTGTTGCTGTGGGTGGAACACACACAAAAAAAAAACAATAACCACGAATACTAATTGAGAGTTCGAGTCTAAAACACTAAACACCAACTATCGTAAAATGAAAAGAGAACAATCGCACATACAGATATGTATAGATATATCCTCACATATATATATACATACATTTATTTTTATGTATATTATTATTATTAGTAGATATTGTATTTAGTTAACGGAATCGTGTTTAATTACATGTGGACGTAACCCTAGACCCGATCAGCAGCCTTTCTCCCATATATCGACGGCAATATTGTTGCTGTTGCTGTTGAAAGTTACCAAATGAAGCGTGAAGCAATAGAGCTTGTAACATTAGATGACTTTTTGCAACAAACAATAATCACAACAACAACAAAAATGCGTCGCCCTGTCGCACAACTAGGCAACAACCCTGTCACAGCTGCATTCCATAGTTCCAATCAAATCAACTTTCCAATGATGGATTTTGTCTGCATTTCTCGATTATAATTTTGCCATTTTTTTTTTAAATTTATTTTTCATTTGTTTTTTACCAATACCTTATTAGCTTAAAATCACAAAACCTGTTAGCCAGCGTCGATAACCGACGTTGATGATGTTGTTGCAAATGCTCAAGCCGTCTAAATGTTACTAGCCACAATTTTCACATGCAAAGTGAAAATGATTTGTAATCGAAAAATGTGATGAAAAAAGCATACACTGTGTCTCGACAGTTGTTAAATGTAATATATGTGTGTACACATTACAAAAAATTACATGAAATCAACTAGTACAATATTTTCAACATTTTTTCAATAAGAAAAGGAAAGAAAAAGAAATCGCAATAACAGCTATGCGTGTCAATTCAAGTGAACTTGCGAGCCGATGTAAAGATACAACGGCATACCCGATCGAACAGGAGGAAAGCCTAATTTTATCTATTCTGTCACTGGGCATTATTATAATTTTCCTCTGCTGCTGCTACAGCTGCGCCAAATAATGCAAATAAATATACATAACACTGATAAAATTCTATATCACGGCATAAGCTAAGAAACCGTTATGAAGATGAGACTAGGACCACAGTTTCGCAAAACTTACCATGAAAATATCAAAATTCCTCGAGTTTATTTCATTTGATTTGATTTGTTTTGTTTCTGAAGCAGTTTTCTTTTTCATCCAATTTCGTTGTGTGGGAGTATTTCAAAAGCTAAAAATTCAGAATTCTTATACACTCGGTCTCTGTTGTTGTTTTTCGCGGTCTACGTACAAAAAGACGTGTGTTAGAAAACGTACATACACTAGCATATATTCACATATACACACAGACACACAGGCACAGGTAAGCAACAGCAATGAACCCAGTAAGCACACACAAACAAACACGTTTTAGTTGCTATTGCCTCTGCGTATGTGTGTGTGCGCTTAGAACTGTTGTTGTTGACCGTTTATGGCTGTAACTGGCTTGTTGCTGCTTTTTGTGTAAACTAGTATTAGATGTGAGCAGGCCATGTAACTTAAGAAGTGAAACAGCTTGCTGTATATTTGTATAGTTGTATTATTTGTATATATTTGTATATATTTGTATTACTATTCACTTTAAATGGCCAGTTTTTATTTCAAAGCGTGTAAAGCGCACACTGAAAATAATGGAGAGCTCCGTAACACAAACACGTTCACATATACACACTAGCGCGTACTAACACGTACGCATTTAACCATATATACATACAAGCTCAAACTCGCAGGCACACACACAAACAGCATACACTCATTATATAAACGCGGCCCGTTAATAATAATATATGTTTAATAATAATATATCATATTTATATTTATATACATATGTATTTGTAATATAAGGTTTTTATTTTAAAGGCACGTCAAAAATAAGCAACAATTGCCAATGCAATTGTGTGCGTGTGAATGACGAACGCAATAGACAAAAGAATAATTAGTTTCCACACACTCACACATTCGTCATGCTTATGTTTCTTACATTCATATTCATATGCGCATACACATTATTAAATTGCCGTTGTGCAGCAACAATATCGAAAATTGGATCACTTTTTATTTTGAAAAAAAGCTTCATCAACCGCACGACCGATGGCCCCGACCGAACACTTCGACGACTAAACTGAAAATAAAGCAGTCATTAACAGCACGCTGTTAACCGATAGTATAATATAACAGTTTTACGATTGAGAAAATTCTGTTAGACTCCTGTTAGCTGCTCTAGCACTGTTCGACTTTAGCAGTTGTCTTCCCACTGCCGATAGCTGACTGCTATATAACATGAACGCTTAATTAAAAAATCAACTCAGTATTTTTAATTTTTTGAGTACTTTAAGGTTAATAACGAATTCATTGGAAAATATAAACAAACTAATAACTTAACTTGACTAGCGGAGATTACATATTAATATCAACAAATTCGTTGCAAAGAATAAGGTTAATAACGAATTCATTGGAAAATATAAACAAAATAATAACTTAACTTGACTAGCGGAGATTACATATTAATATCAACAAGTTCGTTGCAAAGAATTAACATATTTTGGACTTAACCAACGGAGATTAATATCAATCATTCATATGGACTATGTCTTTTACTCCTTCAGTGCTCTTAAATCGGGATACAACGCGCCCGCGTTTATGTAATGAGATTCTGAGCGACGCAAATCCACAACGACCGCTTCACCCGTTTTCTTAACCAACTTCTTGGCCAGACCTTTGGGCGTTATATAGTTAACATTTTGGCTAATGACGAAGGCGTTGCCCACCGTATCGAAAGTCTCGCTGGCCAGATTTCCAGCCGAGCTGCCGTATCTGAAAAGGACATTCTTGAGTTTTCAATCTCTAGGAGAAGGCGTTAACTTACTTGTGTTCAATAATTTTAACGGAATTCTCGCTCAAGCTGTTGCCCAAGATCTTGGCCGACTTTTCAAAGCCGTCGAACACTGTGGTAAAGCCTTCCACAGCGCCCGCTGCAATGGTCATGGCGCCTTCCATTGTGCTGTCCGCATTGCTGCTATCGTAGCCGAAGCCCTTCTGCAAGAGCTTCGACCCTTGGGTCTGGACATGCGGCGCTAGGTATCCGCCGACTGCAACAGCAGCTGTGCCCACCTTGCCGGCGATCCAGCCCGTCAGACCAGCAGCTGCCTGCGTCACCTTCTGTGCCACCTCCACGCCGGTCTGTACCGAGCTGGGCACTTGAGTGGCCTCATCGGCTGCCGCTGGCCTCATTTTAGACATGAGATATGGCGTAGCCCTTAACATATATCCGCCCGTCTTCTCGGCTCCCTTCACCAGATTGCGCGCTATGAAATCCGCTGCGCAGACAATGTGCTTGGACACCTGCTCTGGGGCAGTAGACGCAGCACGTTGGCTGCGCGGCGACGGCAACTGCTCCACAGTGTCCGCCAGCACGGCCTCAAGTAGGTCTAAGAAGAACTGCTGCAAGTCCGCCATCTGCTCCTCCTCAGACTCTCCGGCACTGGTGCTCAGCGGACGCTGTGGCTTAACCAGCATTAAGCCAAATGCATTTCCTGCCTGCTCGATTTCCATATCCGGCAATATGAAGGCGCCGTACTCCGTGCAATAACAATTGGTTACATTGGGAATCAGCGGATACAGCCAGACGGGCGTGCCCGCCTCTTTATTATCGGCCTCCCGCGGCATGTCGCACTGTATGAAATAGCTGCCATTCAAATGTGCCCATTTGCCAACCACGGAGCACATGATTAGCGACATTTTCGAACTGCCTGTTAGCGTGATCACTTGACCGCTAGACTCGATCCTGTAGAGTTTGACTTGTGCTTGAAACAGCTCATCCAGTTGCGCCTGAGAGTCGTGGCTGCCTAACAGCTCACGTAATCCGGTCGCCAGCTCCTTGTAAGTCCTCGGCTTTCCGCACGGATTAAGCCTGTCGTAGAAGATGCTCGGGTTCTCAGCGAGCAGAGGTCGCTTGCTCGTGGATGCTCCATCAAACTGCTCGTGTTCTTGCGCCTCTGCAGCGGTGTCATCAATGGGAAGCTGACTGTTTTTCAAAACATTTAATCGATAGCTCAGATCCATCTTAGCGCTCTTTAGCTTCTGTATAATCGCACAAGCATCATTCCACTGCTGCTGCACTGCATCTATGTCATCTGGCAGCCCGACAGGTATGGCAAATGTCTCCTCAATCACCAGCAGCGCCTGTTCATAGGCAGCGACAGCCTCCTCCCCTGACTCCATTTTATCGTGGCGCAGAGCGATGTCCACCTGAGTCATGGCTGCTTTATAGGAGAGCTTAATTCTCTCGTAAGCATCCAAGAATTCCTTGTCTGTTGACATGGCGCAGAGAGCCTGCAAGAATGTTTACTATTTATTAAGTTATCGATAATCGGTATTAATCACTAGTGATGAAATTATCGTCTATCCCGTTATAAAGTTTACTTTTGTTACAAAGTTTATGTCATAAACGAGCTGCAACGATTTGCAACAGTTTTAGACATATCTACAATATGCATTGTAAGGTGTTATACATTCCGGAATTTTAGTTCAGGCCAATTGACTGTTTTTTTTTTAAATAATAAATACATATACATATGTAGGGCAAAAACAAACTTTTTTGTAGAATTCAACTGCCATGATAAATGCTCTGCAGCAGATAGACTAAGACTAAACTAACAGAACGAAATCGAAATGCGTGACGCGTTAGCAAACACCGAAAGGCTGCCAAGTCTATTACGTCCCCAAATTGCATTTTCCTGAAATTGCTGATATGATGCTGTCATCCGTACCGTTCGCACTTGTTGCGCCCAAATTACTTGTTCCTGTTGTTACTATGCGAGAGCTTTCCAATGAGTAAGAGAGAGCAGGGATAGACTGGGGTAGGCATAGACAGACTATTTGGCGTCGCGTTTTTTTTTTTTCATTTAAAACTTTGCACTTTGGTGTTGTCAACAAGGCGAAAGCTAAAAATATACCAACACGTACTTTGTATTTTGAATGTACAATTCTGTTGTTGCCTACCTTATCTGTGTGCTTTGCCATTGCGCACAGATTCAGCTGCTGTTCTAATTAATCATATCCTATAGTATACGTATGAGAAATTCGATAATATGCGACGAATGCTCCTTTCAGTGTGCACGTTTCTGTTTCTTTGTCTGTTTTGATTTTGTTTCGCTGTTCATATGGACTGCAACAGTTGCTACACGTTCCAACATTCTTTCCAGAAATCTGTCATACGCATATGTCGCGCAGTCTGTCGTTACGTAGCACATTTGTTGTGCTCATAATCAGTGTTGCCGTTTTGTCTTATTTTCGGCCAGATCTGGCTTTTTTTTAAGTGCAATTGCGGAAAAAATTTGGAAAATCTGGCATATATATGAATCGAATCAGCTAATATATATTTTGTTTAATATCTGATATTAATTACCGATTAATAGACAAACTAACAAGCTGGTAACTATTAAAGGCTAACATCACAAGTTCTGCAATACTTTCATCCCTACAGTTAGACAGATTTTCTGTTGCGCTTCGCATACATTCGTTACCTTGGTGGAATGCCGAAGTTGAAGGGTCTTTAGCCAAGTCAATTTAATAAAATATGAATTAAGAAATAGGATGAACATTGATACGTTAACCATAAGGTAAAGGTCTAAAGAATTACAGCCTCATTAAAACAGATAATATTTTTTAAAATTTACATCCGAATTGAGCCGAGATAACAGATGATGTTCTGATTACAGAGTTTTTCTAAACTGCCTCAAATCGATCGCAATCAAGGAATATCTAAATTATGATACCGAAGAGTCTGTAGACTATCTATTGCTAGATTTATCATCAATGAAAACATTTAAAATGTATAATGTTAAAATTTCTATTATTTTGGTTTGGTTTCTTAATGAATATGAAATGTTTGTTACAATATTTGTACGTGTACCTATCTATTACAATATAAAAAAAAAAGAAACAATTCTAAAATATTACCTTATTTTTCAACTAATTGTTTTTGGGATTTAACTTATTTTTACTTATTTTTTGTCCTGATTCAGTTATTTTTTCTCGGGCAAAAACGGCAACACTGCTCATAATGGATGCAAATAACTAACGGAACATGAAAATTTAATTGTAGAGTCACTCAAAAACTATTTTAAACATTCATTTCAAAATAAGATAGCTTTTCTATATATTTAACTTTTTATACCAGATTTATTATTATTTTTACAATACCTGGACTCCCCTCCAAATTTAATATATGTATGTACTTCTTTTTTTTTCATTTTCCCATATGCTGCACATTAAAATTCAATTACTTCTGTTTCGATTTGTTTTATTAATTTTAAATATACATTTTTAAATGTTACATTTTAGAATTTTCGTTCATTTTCGGACGACTGTCGAATCTTTCGGGACACTACTTGGAGACTGGCGACTGGCGTTCATTTGTTCTTGAATTTGCTGTAACATATGAAAACGTTTTCACAATTTATAACGAAAATAATCTACTGGAATTTGATGAACAATTCGCGATTCAACATATCAAATTCTCATGAGACGAAGACTTCTACTTTATTTTTTTGCTTGGGTTTCCTTCCAAAGGCGCTCTCTTGCGGGAGCGGGAGACGAGTTTCAATTGAAATCACAATATGTATACATATATATTTATATATATATGCAAAAGTAATGTATATAATAATATATAATTTTGTATAACATTTGGAAATTTTCTCGCACAATTGACCGAGAAATAACGAAAAAAAATGTTTTTCCGCTTTTCGTTAACACTTTGAATTTTTGAGTTTAAGTATATGTTTATAAATCCTACAGTTTTTGTTTCGTTTTTCTTTCTTTATACATATATTTCTATATATATATATATATATGCATTTGTTTAATCAATGCAATGAGCTGATCTGGAGCTTCATAAAATTGGAGTCCTTTCTCCACTCACTCACTTAGGTAGATGGAGCACTTGCCAACTCCCGATAGGCATCCTGCAACGCCTGTTGCTGCTCGGGACTCAAGGTGCTGGCACAGGCCTGCATGACGTCCGGGTTGGATTCGATTTGCTTGACAATGGTTAGCATGCGGGTACCTGGGGTGCTCTTTGCTTCCAGCACATTTCTGCAAAAGGAGTCTGCGATGATGGAGACGATGCGTGGCAGATTGCAATTGTTTGCGCCCAAAATGGCTGGATGATTTGCCTCGATCAGATCGCAGAGGTAGCCGTAGATGTGGACAGCCTCCTCGGGATCTTCCGAAATTGGCAGCCACGAGAACCAGACGGCAATCAGCTCATCCAAATTGCTCAATGCTGACTTGTTGTATTTAAGTATTTTGGCGAATGCCGAGATGGCATTCTCCGTCGCATTTATATTCTCAATTTCGCGTGACCGCGGATCATTGATCACCTGCACCAGCAGTGGAATAATCTGTGCACATGTGTGGGCAAACTGATCGCCTCCAAACTGACCCAGAACGCCGCATCCATAGGCAGCTGCTTGACGTACATCCGGCGACTTATCCAGCACATATTTTAGCAAGGCAGGCGTAAAGATTTGCTGGTACGGCGTGCAAGCGGGGCCACAGAATTCTAGATGGAATATAGAATGAGCGGTCAGTCAAAAGCATGTATAAATAGAAAAAATTTATGATAGTACCAATTAAATCATCGAATACGCAAATGCCCCATTGGCGATCGGCGAACGGACGATTGGGATCCAGGAGCTTGACAAAGTGCGGTGCCACCTGGTCAAAGGCGGGCAGAAATTGTGCCTTGTTGGTTAGGAAGAGAGCGTGTATGATGTCCACCACCTTCGACAGGATATAGATGTCTGTATCATCCTGTTCGGCCAGCTCCTCCTCAACGCCATCATCGTAATCCTCTTCGTTGCGAGCAGCCAAGCGCTTATCCGCACGCTCAAAGTGCTCGAGCACATACTTGTTGATTATCTCGAGCACCTGCTTCATGGCCTCCTCATTGAGACAGTTAGGACCGAGAGTTTCGATGCACTTGGCCAGCGAGTTGAGCAGCTCGGATTGAACGTCCGGCTCCGGTTCGGTGTTGATCACCTTAATCAATTCCGGGCAAATATAAAGCCACATACCCTCCAAGTAGTTGGGGCCCTTTATTTTAGCACAATCGAGCAAATAAGGCAACGACTCAGCAGCAGCTGAGCGCACACCATCGTGGAAATAGAACTTGAGCAGAGGTAGCATTAGACGAAGCACTTCCTCGGCGTAGTCGGCAAAGCCCTCTTTCAATTCGCGCGCATAGCAAACGAGCATCTCGCAGGCCGAAGCTTTATCCTCCATTCCAGCAGTGCGTATGGCAAAGTTTTGCTGCTCCCCCAGTGTAATAAAGGACCATTCCACGTCGCCTTCAATGTCCTCCACCTCATCGTTGTCCAGCAGGGCCACCTCCGGCTTCATGCCCGCAGTACGCATCACTGGACCCATAACAAGGGGCAGGTACTGCTCAAACTGCTTGCCCAGTATCTTGCACATGCGTGCCCAGGCGGTTATTAGATAAGACGTCTGCGGATCGTCGTCGGGCAAGTCGCCCTCGGTATGGGTCTTCAATAGCATGTCCATGACTTCGCCGGCATCTGCAATGAATTTCTCACGACCTACTGCAAGTCCGATGAGACTCACGCACTCAATGGTCTTGCCGCGCAACATGCGCAGATCCTCGGAGTTAGCATTCTGGATGATGAACTTGAGACAGGGCATCAGTCGATCGTAGTAAGCGACAAATTCGTGCTCACACGTATCTGCCACAGACGCGATGGTGGTGACCACCTGCTCCAGCACGAGTTTGTTGCCCTTTTCGACGAGCTCCTTGAACTTTGAGTTGAGAATGTTCTCCAGCTTTGCCATTATTGCGTCCAGATAGCGTGTCAATATATTCTTGGGACAATCCTCACTGAAATTGACCAAAGCGGCTCCAGCGTGAGCTTGCACGCGTGGATTTTGCTCGTCTTCAAGCAGCAGCAGCAAGCCAGGCACCACCTTATCAGAGGCAAATTGCGATTAGTTGAGATACATATCATTTACAGTTAGAGTACTAGCTCACCTGCTCGTGGAATTTCTTCTCGAAGGTGGGCGCGAAATCCGTGGACATTTGCCCGATGGCATTGCAAGCAGCGTAACGTACGCGTGGATGGGGATCGCGTAGATAGTTCAGCACGCCAGACATAACCTGATCCAGTATGGTCTCCATTTGCTTGTGGCAGCCTTCACCAATAGCCGATATGGCCATCAGAGCAGCGAAGCGATGCTTCCAGTCAGCGTGATTCAGCATTCCGGGTAAAGCGTTCATAACGTGGGGCAAAACCATTTTGCCACCCAAGCCGCATGCCAATCGATCCAGCGAGGACTCCGCAATGACATTATTATCGCTGTGATCATCCTCATTGACGACATCGGCCGTTGCCCACTCCTCGTCCTCATCCAGATCCGTCATCATTTGCAGCACCAGCGGGATGAGTGCAACAATATATTTCTCTGCACGCTTGCGCACCATTGCAGGTGCGTTCTCCGCCAGGGATACCATCACCTCCAGCACCAAATGACGCCAGCTGTCCTCGAAGTCCTGCGAGCTAAACACCTTCATACACATCTCAAAGATGTACTCCAACTGCGGTCGCAGATACTTTGGACAGTTCTCGGTCATGTCAATGAGCAGCTTGAGCAAACTCTGGTCGTCCTGTGCCTCAATCGTTTCTCCCGTTATGACAATCATGCGCGGCAGCAAGTCAGCGAAGTGCTTATATATGGTCACCTCCTTCTCCTTGTCATGGTAGAGTATGAAGGCGCCAATAGCTCGGACGGCCTGAACACGCACCTCGGCGTCGGTGTTCTCCATGCTCTTGGCCAGCATCTGTTTGATCAGATCGATGTATTGCGTCTCCTGATTGCCAAAGATCGAGGGCACACTGCTGAAAATGCGCAATGCCGATTCCTGCAGCTGCGGGGTTGGCGAATTGGCGCATTGGAACAGAAATTGGAGAATGTCCGGCCACTGATTGTTGCCGTCCTCGTCGATCAAATTGCGTGCCACCTCGGCAACCACCTCGCAAATTTTACGGCGCAATTGTGGCGTCACATCCTGTTGCACGGCCATCAGAATCTGTTGCAGCAGCTGATTTTGTGAGTCTACTGGCAGCTGCAAGGGATTTTATTATGAGTATCGCAAGACATTCCAGACTGATATATTGATATATATATTTATTCAATTACCTCCTTGTAGAACTCCATAAAATCGGATGTGAACAGGCGACGCAGCAATACGGCGGCCATTTGACGAGCTTCCTCCGATTGTTGGCCATTGTGAATGTTGCCCAGCAGATGTGTTACCTTTAACTCACGCGACAAATTGTTATACGCATCCTAGACGACATATATCAAAAATATTTAAAAATCATATAATTAGCTGTTGAACTAAATAATTGAGCATATTTAGTTATTTGCTTTAAGACTAATAATAATAATAATAATAATAAACAATAACATAATTAAAAGTAAATATATTTGTATTAAATATAATAAAGGTATTTTAGATCATATCCATTTACCGCTAAAATTCGACGTCGCTAGTAATTTTAACCTCTGTCTTTACTATAGATCAAATGAATGCAGTAACATCAGCTTTACAGAGCAACATAAAATGTTATTTAGCATTGCTTAAATTTATTCCCTGAACCCATTGAAAATGGAAAATGAGGTTTTGCTTTTGTTAAAATGTATGTAACAGGCAGAAGCAGGCGTGGCACCCCACAAACAATATATTCTTGATCAGGCGACGAGATGAGTCGATTTAGCCGTGTCCGTCTGTCTGTCCGTCCATCCATCCATCTGTCCGTACGTATGAACACGTCGATCTCAGAGAATAGAAGAGCTTGAGACTTGCAATATTTTTAAATGTCCGTATATATAGCACGGATATGAAGTTTATCTCCATTGATAACTGTCGAGCTGTCTCGATTAGAGCTTCCTTACTTGCATCCGACAGATGGACTGTTAGCCAATTCCTTAAGATAAATTATTGTTTGAAGTGTACAATTTGAAGTTTCATAATATACATAGGTAAATATGCTCAATTTTTTACTTGGGGTTTTCCTTACTTTAAACAATCAAAGCTATAACAAATGTATACGAAGGATATTTGGATTTAACAATAAATTATTGAAAACGAAATGAATCAAACAATTGCGCGCAGCTGGTACGAAAATGTATCCTTGCTTGTGCAGTGTTTCCTTGCATGTACATACATATGTATGTGTGTTTGCCATCGACAACTGCAGCACTCAGTGCTTAGTAGCGTGTGGCGTGGGCGGCGCCAAGGTCAACAGCTGTAATGCGTACAGACTGTAGACTGGCTCTATCAGCAAGTGTTTAATTGAAACAACAAATACAAATAAATCAGATTGTGTTACCATCATGCCATGCGTCATCTTTAGCAATAATAAACTGTTTTGCACCTGCGCTTTGTTTCCGTTTTGCATGCGTGTTTGTGTGCGAATTCATTTTAAGGCGCTGGCAGCCCAAAAAAACTGTCAAAAATATACACATTATATATTATGGCTTCGTACGAATTGTACAAATTGTCTTTTCGCTTCGCACATGCACACATACACACAGTCATACATACATACAGACATACACACACACCATGCCACACAGCAACAGCCACACAAATAAGAACGGCGTGTGAATGGCGTAGCTAAAAGAGAGAGCAAAAACACGTTTTGTGCGCTTTTGAAATAGAATGCACGATGGCGATGATTTCGGAAAATCTTACTACATCCTAAATTTAGCATATGAAATTGAAAAATAATGCAATACAATAAATATTAGTCATTATACTATATGCAGTTCACGTTTTGATATTGCGCAGTTGTCCGACAGAAATTTGCATCTGGCGATTGGTAGACTTACCTCGGCTTGTTTCCGGACTTCATTGTCCATGGACAGCAAAGAGTTGAGAAGCTGTTGGAACTGTGCCTGGTCTGCAGCCATTTCGATTTGTAGTTTTCACTCGATTTGACACGATACAGAAAACAGCAAATTTTCACAATCCACACGCGACGAAGCCGCTTAGAAAAGAGCAGAACAATAGAAAAGACAATGCCGGGTTGCCAAAGTCACAATTTGATTTTATGAATGTTGTTGCTAACAATGAAATTAGCCTGTTACACTTGTCACATAGGTTGTCTCCTATGAAAAATATATTTCCAACTTTTGAGAAATTTTTAATGAGTTTATTAAGTGTATTTAGTAATCATTCAAGGCAATATGTTTAAAGCTGTGTCAACACTGGCGAAAAACGCTTGCTCAGGCGCTGCTATCGATAGTTATTTTGGCGCGTAAAAGTAGTACCCGCAAAAACATAGAATATTAAATTTCTTAAACCCTGAGTATAGTATAAGCTTTTTGACGTGTTCTGCTTTTTGTAATATTTAATGTAATGTTTTAAAATAATCTCTTAAAATAATTTCAAGTGTCAAACAAGTTATCGATGTCGACAGACACAACAACTCTATTCGGTACTGCAAAAATGTGTACAATCTCCATGCTTTACCATGGCCACTAACCATGCCATGGCTTAGCCTAAAATTAACTAACAACGTAAATTAGAGCTATGATTTACTTTTATTGATAAACTAAATTAATTTGTTGTATTTGTATTCAAAAACAAAACCGTTATTATATCAGAATAAGTTGGAGTTCAATGTAATTGTACAGATTTCAATAAAATCAGTGTTGTTAAACGATCTAAAATGAAGATTGTTTTGTATACAAAAAGAGCCAAGAGGAAAAAGAAGCAGTATCTGAAATTGAACAGCAATTAATTAAATTGAACTTCATAAAAAGTAAAACAAAAAAATACTGTCTTTAAAATGAGCACTCGCCTCTGTGCCTATAAAGACTGCCACAATTTCTATCATCGCCAGGACAGCAGTGGCTGCAGCGAGGTGACGCTCTTCGCATTCCCCAAGGATCCAAAGCGCGCCGAACAATGGCGTATACTTGGCCAGGTGCATCCCAAAATTGGACCCATGCAACTATATATGTGCTCCAAACATTTCGATGCCAAATATTTGTCATTGACTAGGAATCGTCGCATTTTGCTGGGTGAAGCACTGCCTTTCCCATACGAAGATCCCAATAAAACGGATACAAAGGAAATGGCTGCGACGTCTTCAACTGAACAGCAGAGCTACTACATCAACTCGACGGGCAACAAAATTCAGTTGGCTGAAGACAATCCCAAGGACATTTCATCTTCCTCTCAGCAAAGTTTCTACATAAATATGGACGACGATGATTTAAGCATTGATAAAGTTATCATGGTGGAGTCCACGACGACGCAAGTCGTCGACCCACAAGCTGATATGTTTGAGAAGAGTAAGGCTTGGAGTGCAGTTTTACTAGTACTTATGCATAACTAATGTCATTCTCTAAATGCAGTCGAGGTCAACATCATCCCGTCTACTCAAAAGCGCCCTCGCCTTACGACGCCACAGGAGGAGGAGGACGACGAGAAAGCGCCGCTGCCCACTGATGAACAACTGATAGACCCATCGGAGGTGTCCATCTTCAAGTTTAAGGGCGAGCAGTACGTGCAAATGTCGCGGGAATACTACCTGCAGGAGAAACGCCAATTGATGGAACAGCTGAACAGCTACAAGAGCACGTTGGCCAGCATTAGGAAACAATTGATGTCATTAAAGGAACTATGAAACGATGCAAATGTTATTTATTTCTTTAAGTTTAATCACTCAGCTCACAGATGTGCTCCACATCGCTGTCCACATCGGGACAGTCGCTTAACTCATCTCTATCTTCTTCCTCATTCTCATCCTCCCCCTGGATCTGTACGCCCTGCTCGAACCGCTTCCGCTCGAGCAACTCGGCCCAGACTAAGGGTGTCTCACACAAAGGACAGTTGCCTACGATGGGTAAATACTGGCCAGGCTGGTCGTCCAGCAAGTAGCTGGCCAGGCACAGCATGTGGCAGCTCAAGCAACAGCTGGCATTCAGACAACTGAAGCGGGAGCGCTCCGGGTGCTCTATGCGCTGCATGCATAGATGACACTCGGACGACCAGGAAGCTGTAGCCGCAGCGGCAGCTGCAGTTCGCTTCACAGCCAAGGCCCGCTGCGACGTCGTTATGGCCACCTTGCCGCTTACGATTCGCATGTGTCGTGGCAGGGGCAACTGGAACTCTCGCTCGTAGTCCGTCTCCAGCCAGCGAACAGTGAGTGGCAGGCGATGCCAGGGACCTACTCCCAGCATTCGATTCACTATGCGAAAATTGTAATCGAAATGCGTCTCGCGTGGCAGCTTGCGCCTTAGGTCGTCAAAGATCTTAAGTCGCGTCGACAACGTTGGCTGCTGCCACGCCCACTCGAACTGCAGTGCGACGATCTTGTTCGGGAATCCATGCACAATCATCACCATTTGCCAGGGTCCCTTCTTGCTGGTCTTCTTGGCGCCGCCAAAGCTGGAGCCGCGATTATGCTGCCTAATGCGTCGCTTCGGGTTGACCGTGAAGCCCACATAGCATTTGCCGCGATGCCTCACGTCCACACTCTGACTGCACAGCAAATAGACGCCATAGAAGTGGCCCTTCTGGGCCAGAGCTTCCCTGTCGCCTGCAAGTGTCAAACGTAGAATTAGCATTGGAATTTGAGTGCGACTAGGCTAAAGAGAGCGACAGGAATAATGCGCCAAATGGAATGGATTATGTTAATTAGTTTGTTGTCTGTTTGTCCCTTAGACCCCGACGCTTCACGAGGCTAACAATTCTTTCTTATGTCTAATTTATTGTATTTATTTATCTCTCGTTTATAGCCATTAGCTAATTTAACTCTAATTTCATTGCTCCGCTGCTAGCCAGTCCATTGATTTGTTGTTGCTGTTGCTGCTGCTGCTGTTGTTGCTGCTGGTGCTGTTGTTGCTGTTGCTGTTGCTGTTGCTGTTGAGGCAGCTGATGTGTCGCAGACAACACCTGAGTTTGCGTGGGCGCTGGCTCCCTTGCCGTCAGCGGCTGCTGCTGTGACTGCGAGGCAGAGCTGCTGCCGTTCTGCAACGTCGCCTGCTGCAACGGATTGGCGGCCTCAGCGGCGGCAACAGACGCCGCTTCACTTGGCGCCAAGATGCCGCCATTGGTCTGTGGCTGCTGTTGCTGCTGCTGCAGTTGCTGTTGCTGTTGTGTGGCTGCAGCAACTGCTGCCGCGTTCTCCTGCACCGAGTTAATCAGCTTGATGCGCTTGCGCGTGTAATGCTGCCACTGCAGTATGGCCTGGTCGTCGATAAACTTGCAACATTGATTGTTAACGATCTCGCGACGAAAATGTTCGTATTGCAGAAGATCAAGAAAGTATAGGCACATCGGATACATCAGATACTTGGCATATTCGGGCTCCTTCCAGTACTGTAGGTACTTGAGGTAGTTGATAAAGCAGGGATCCTTAAAGTAGCCACGCTGTGCGAGAACTGCAAATAGAATGGAATGTGTTGAAGATACAAATCTATGGATATACATATATAAGAGTTAGTTTAGTTCCCAATAGTATTAATCATGTGCTCCATGTCATTTCTTATTGCTTCAACTTATATCAATAATATGCTTCGCTTTATTTCTTTACCGAGAGATCAAGTTCAGATCATATACTCCTTAAAATTATCTAACTTAAGTAAAAAACTACTATTTTATGTTATTCTAATAGCATTTATATTTTCTATTCTTGCTTATATAATATATATGTGCTCTCTTTGACTTACAGTTGAGATAATTGGGATTGGACAGGCACTGCACGAATTCCAGCTCGATTTGCCAGCGACGTTTTTGTTGATCCTCCGATTCTATGGCCGCTAAACAGTTATACAAAATCAATTATTAACAGTAATCGTCTGCATTCAACTAAAATACTGTAAGTGTTTAGTTATTCTCTTATGGCTTGCGTTATTTTGTATTAAAGCGAAAGGAAAAGCGTATGAGGAGGAATATAGAATAAATAAAAAAGTGAATTGCAAATGTTTTTGTATTTTAATGTTTTCTTTGTTGGCTTTACTTACTCTTACCCTTTCCGTACATTTTGGCCATTTTTTTAGCGGTTGTGGAAAGGGTTTCGTTGTTTTTGCGTTTTTTCAGTTTGTTTATGCTAATTCTTCAGGTGTTGTGGTTCGTTGTTGTTTTGAAACGTTTGTGTTATTTATTTCTCGTGTGCTTTAAAAATTGTACATTACACAAAAAATAAACTACACATACAAATGTACACAGATTCGTTTGTGTGTGTGTGTGTGCGTGAGGTAGGCTAAAAAGGATCTATAACAAAGCGCATACAAAATAGAATGAAATTGAACAGCACTTATAAACGCAAATCGATCATAAAATTCTCTGTCGCTCCCTTATTATGTTGGGTAGTAATATTCGTTTTGTGGTAAGCAAATTAACTAAAAATAATTGTTATTTTCAACTACAAACCGTAAGTGTTCATGACAGCGTGACCGAATCTGAAAAACGAAAAAATACTGATTTTTAACAAATAAATATACCAAAAACGTGTCCAATGGGTACAAGAAATATCAGTTGATGAGAAGTACACCCTGTTGTCGCAAAATATTTCTTAATTTATTTTCATTTGCATTATTCATTGCGAAACTAAGCCGAATATTAAATTTATAAATATTAATTTAAAAAAAAAAAATATTAACACCCCAAATTTAGGCGCAAAAAATTGTTTGCCGTCAAATTTAAATTCATTGATTTAGTATGTATGCTATATGAAAATTTCTTTTAGTGGGTTTAGGTCAAAAACGATACTAAAATAATATTTTTCAACGGTTAAAATTATAAAAATCGTATAAATATATATCTTTTTAAATGTTCGTATTAATACTTACTCTTTCGTTTAAAACGCAATGCTTCTCTTTCGGCATTTTAGTTGCTCAGAATGTTGTTTAATCTTATTCTCTCTTGCCATCACTCTCACTCACTCGCTCGCTCGCTCTCCGTGTTTAATCAATTTCGTTATGCCATTCATTCGTATTCTGGCATTTGGAGCATACGGACGTCGTGGTCGGTTCCGTGAACGCTCGTTGTTTGTTTCGGCAAGTAATATCGTTTTACAAAATAGCTCAACAAATATAAAATATATACATATACCTACATACATATGTGTGCATTGCTTAAGATTATCAAGAAATCATAATAAAGAAAATCGAAAGAGAAGTCAGCTACAAAAGCAAATAAGAAATGTGAGTAGATTTCAAGAAATCACAAATGCGTGTGCCGACACACATGTATATCAATTTATTACATACAAACGTACATGTTTGTGCGTCCGTGCGTGCGTGCGTGAAGGTGTGTGTGTATGCGAGAGGTGCAAAATAAAATTCACAAACGGTAAAATAAATGAATAAAATTGTGTACACAAAGTGAGCTGTGAAATTGCGGCGCAAAAACAAAGCCCGCAAATTAAACGAAGAGGAAGTGTAAAAAAAAAAATAAAATTTATTAATTCAAACCTACATCTAGGAAAGTGCGTCGTTTTTATTTTGATATCGATAGAAAAATAAAAATACATTAGAAGTGCGCCTCATTTGTCTTACAGACAAATATACCTGCTAATGTTTTCATACATATGCATTATTGTGCATGCATGTGTTTGCCTGTGTGTGCGTGTGCGTGTGCAAAGTGCAACATAAACAAACGAAAATGTTTTTCAAGAATGCAAAAAGGTAAATACATGATATTTCTGTCTGTGTATACATACAAACCGACTCGAAAAATTACTACGCAGCAGAAATTTATGCGATATTGTTGTTGTTGTTGTTTCATATCTATCATATCTTCTGTTTCGTCTTTGTCGCCGCTGCTACCGCCAACGTCCTCTCGATTTGTGAATGAGGAACGCAGCGGCGTTCTCTAGTGTGCGTGTGATTGAATGTGTGTTTGTGAGCAGAGTAGCAAAACAAAAACCTCGCTTCGACTGTTCTCTCTCATGTTTTCAACACTGTTCTATTATGCTCTCCATGCGCACTCTTGTTCACTGAGTTGTGTGTGAGTGTTAGTACAGTAGAAAAAGCAAAAGTGTGAAGAACCGCAATAACAATAACAACAGCAGCAGCAGCAAAAACAAATATAAATTCGAATGTGTCAACATAAAGAACAAGACAATTGCACAGAAAATAATACTGTAATAAAGTAAAATCGTATGTAAGTAGTAGTAGTAAGATTTTTAGTACTAGTAGTTGTATCAGCAGTACTAGTAGTAGTTGTATCAGCAGTATTAGTAGTAGTGGGAGAGAGTCGGCTGAGGTATTTGCTAATTAAAACGCGTAACAGTAATTGGCATACCACTGTGTACTCGTTCTCGTTCGCATATCATTGCTGTGCGTTTAGCCATATCATTTGTATTTGTTTTTTTCTCGCTCTTTTCTTATTCAATCACGTGTGTGTGTGTGTACATACATGTACATACATGACTGTATATTAAAAACACCATCAAAATGCCGTTGTATTAATCATAATATATTTTTGATGGCGGCTGCGTAAGGAATGTTGCCGAAAAATTGAACATGCGTATTTTCTCGTCGAGCTTCTATGTATTTGTTTGTATGTATGTGTTCCTTTTTTGTGTTTGTGCGTTCGCTTTCTGTGTAATTTATTTATTTTTAAATCAAGTTTGCCATTGTATGTGTGTGTGAGTGAGTGACAAAAATAAGTTGCCGCAAAAACAAAATTGCTGAAAAACAACAGAGACCAGCCAAGTTTTGTGTACAGCGAAACCGGAAATTGTTTATGCGACGTTGGCAGCGACGTCAACGCCGAGTCGATCGGTAGTTTTTCATGACGTACGTATGGCGGTCTCACTAATACACCCATGTACATACATATATCAAATACATATAAGGTGGCAAATCTTTTGGAAATTTTTTGGCGCATAATTTGGCCACACTAATTAGCAGTACGAAGAGGAACAATAACAACAACAACAAAAAAAGAATTTAAAAAAAATTGGTTTGACCACATGTCTAAACGGCGCGCGTGTGCAAGCACAAACAACAATAACAAGCAGAAGAAGAAGAGAAAGGAGAGCGAAATGAGGTGATGACCATGTGTGGTATATATGTGTGTGCATGTACGTACATATATGTGCTTGTGTGTGTGTTAGTTGAGCGAGACAAACTGGCAGGTGTCATTGACCCTTTAAAGCACATTTTTTCACTGTCGTTATTGTCGCTGCTGTTATTTGCAGTCTTCTTTCTCCGCTGCGTTTCTTATTATTGTCATTGTTACTTATGCTGCATACAGCGGCTGCTTGGCCTTGAACTTAGACGTGTTTCTAAAGCATATATTTGAGATCCAAGCTTTTTTCCATGCTATTGTTCGAGAGGCGCGCGCGAACACCGAAAATGGTATCTATTACGCAATTTGCGTTGTTGCTTTACTATGCCATACTATATATGAATATACATATATACATATGTATAAATGCATATGTACGTGCGTGAGTAAAACTTGTCAATAATATATCTATTACTATATATGTACACATATATTGACGTCAGACTTTAGGGCTAGCTGTGGGTCAGAGCTGTGTGGTCCTCAGAATTGTCAGAATCATAACATTTTTTACACATGACTTCATATGTCCAATTATCAACAAAAAATAAACTAAACAAAAACAAAAAATAAAGAGAGAATGAATAGAATAGAAAGAACATATGCGGGATGTACATACATACATACGTACATAGAAATGTATATGTCTAATTCTTGAGCTTTTGAATGTAGAAACAAGATTAAAGAAAGGGCTATCTTTATTGCATGGCATAAATAAACAAGTAAGAGTGCTCTATGCGCAACTGCTCGACTGCTCGACTTATCTACTAGAAGATGCAGCGGACGTAGTGCCGACTGCGCGTGGACTGTAGTAGGACCTATACTTAGGGAAGTTCATTGATGATTAGTTTAGCTTTTAGATGGACTTCAAATTGTATAAAGAAAAAATTGCATAATTTTCTCAATTTAAATGGAAAATCCACAATTTATTGATGGAGAAATAATTCAGCTTTATCTTTTTAAAATTGTTTTGTTATGGCTGCATTCTGCTTGTTAAGAATGGCAGGCACTGGCTATTCAAAAAATGAAGTGATCACAAGGGCACCTTTGACATTTCACCTGCGACTTCAGCATCCGAATAGAGTTGTGCTGTCAAAATAACGTAACTTACTTCCAGCAAGTGCTGCCAGCTATTAAAAAACCACATTGTGAAAACCATAATTGTGATTACAATTGTTTTCGTGTACCTCGCACGCACACACAAATTTCATGTTTATGCGTAGGCGGTCACATAATCTTCGATGGGTGTGTGTGATTGTTTATGTGTTTTTATAGTGGAGTGCTTACATATTTTCTCGGACCTTAGACTCTTGATAAGCTGCTAGCTAGCGCTGAAGTCGAAGTGTGCGATCCGCATGAATCATTTGCAAGAACTGCGCCAGCCAATTAAACACAATAATAAAGAACTCTATACATCTGCTTATAAAATAATCAGAAAATGTAATTTTTGTTATTTAATTGTGAATTTTTTGTTATTCGAAGTTGACTGCAATTATCCAAGGTGCTGTTACAATCACTTCACGAAGTAATATCATCTAGTAGAGAGTTTCTACAATTGTCTGAGTCTGCACCAGTGTTGCCGAAACTTTTTCAGCAAAAGTAGCAAAACCGAAGGCTGAAAGTAGCTAGAAGTAGCCAACTTTCTTCTAAAATAGCTGAAAAAGTAGCAAAAAAGAAAACAGTGCTGTTTTTTTCATAAAAAGTCAACTTTATTAATTTAATTCTGATAATATCTCATCTATGACCACCAGCTCGTCATTTTCACCTTTGTCGCTTTTATAATTTGCCTTTTTAAGGTAGTTGGGTGGAACGCTATACTCATAGAAACATTTGCCATATCGGCGTAATCCATATGTTTTGTGGACATACAATCTTAATGAAACTTTCAAAACGTGATCATATGGCTAAAATGTGTGTACATTCCAAAGCACAAGTCTCTAGTACTTGAAATGCGTTTTTTACAAAATGATGGCGTCCATGGGTCAGGGTATAAAAACTGATAAGAAATGAATTTTGCATAGCATATTAGAAAGCTTACCTATTATTCAGTTGTAGTATTAATTCTACACAAAGCTCAGTACATTTAAATCATTTACATTTAAAAATTATCGAAGCGAATTTTGTTATAAGTTCGCTTGCATTTTAGCTAAATTTAATATTTGAAAATAGCTAGATTTGTAGCTAATAGCTGTTTGAAAATTTTTGTAGCAATCGGCCTTAAAAAGTAGCCAGATCTAGCTACAAAATAGCTGATTCGGCAACACTGGTCTGCACCCTTATATTATCTCCGAGTGTGTGTGTTTGCATGCGTTTTCGGCATTCTGCTTTGCCCGTCGTTTGTTTTCCTTGTTTTTGAAGATTCCGTTTTGTATCGACGTTCGTTTGTATATGTGTGTACATATGTATGTATATATATTCTTTTTTAACGTCTCTTATAAAGCAGCCGGTGTGCGTACGCTAAAACGTGCCTGTGTGTATGTATGCCTGAGAGAGTCTGCTTGCATTTGTGTTGGTGCAATAAAAAACACACGTGGTTGCATTTCTATTATAGTGCTCAGAGTAGAGAGACAGAGACAGACAAACAGACAGAGAGAGAGAGAGAGAGAGAGCTCGTTCTCAGCTTGCTGGACTCGGTCAATTTTTGTTGCTTGCAGTATGTGTGAATGAAAATGTTGTGTGTGTGTGTGTGTGTGTGTAAGTGTGTGCGAATTTATATGCGTATGTGTGGCACACGAAGCGCTGCCGGCATAGGATAGGCGGCTATTTAACGGTGGCGCTGGCGTTTGCTGCTATATATAGTAATTTTTATAAACATTAGGGATAATCCCGATGGCCGGACTCCCCAGTAAGTATGCGTGGGCATTTAGTGTTGCATATATGTAAATATGTATGTATGTATATCGCTTAAAATTACGATTTGCTGACGGCATTGACGTTAGTAAATAAGTTTTTGACAAATTTGTTTAGCCTTTTAATTTCTGCCCTACTCGGAGCTGCATCACCCAGTTATTCGGCTACTTATGCTCGCTCTTCACAACGACCTTTGAGTGACCTAATTTATTGGTTTTGTATTATACTATGTTTGCAAAACAAATTATTTTATGACTAACTATTCTTTTTTTTTTATAAA